GGAAAGAGAGAGGAAGAAGAAAAATAATTGCAGAGATGACAGGAATGAGACCTTAAAGGAAAACGGCATTTAAAAGAGCTATGAGATCAAATGGACCAGGGGAGGCAAATCCAAATCTGGTATTAAGAGGTCTGCAGCTTTTGTCTTGCTGTGGCTGCAGCTTCTTAGATGAGAAATGGGAATATTTCCGTGGCTGGATATAAAAAGCATATTAGTCACTGGGAAGTGTAGGAGCCCTTCAGAGATGCAACAAGGCAGATTCTTCTATTCCATATGGAATTGCAGGCAGAGTGGTGATCTTTTGCTGCCATCCAGCTGCTTGCTTCCTGGTGAAAATAAGTTTGTGTATTAGAGTAAATTAGTCCATGTTTTTCCCTGTTCGGATAATATTGTTTGGTGTTTTGCATTTTTTCCTGCTTTATTTTAGTATTCTGAGAAACTGGTCACATTAGTGATTTTTTTTGTTGTTGTTTCATTTTTTTTCTTTTTTTCTTTAACTGCAAGGAGGTTTGGTATGCTTTTGCTGGGGGAAATGCAGAATATTGATATATAAAGGCTTTAAGGCTGCTGAAGAAAATCTGAATTAAGCTACTGGCTTAGTAAAGTATGCTGTTGACAGTTTTTCTCATAAACGGGAAAAAGAGATGAGCGTCGCTGTATTTCAAGCTGGACAATCATAGAATTCTTTTCCCTCTGTATTGTTGAGGTCTTTAATGTGTGATATTCTATCCCAATCTAGTGGCAGCACAAGTTGCAGTAATTGTAAATGAACCACTGATATTTTGTTGCATATATGTGGTTGTTTCCCAAGCCGTGCTTTGCTTCTAGCCTATTGCTGTAGTATCTGATGTGAGGAACAACGGTTTTGTCGTGCTGCTGAGAAAAGGGCTCAGCATTAATAGATTCTCAGTTACATTAATAAGTAGTAACTAGGATAAAAAAAATTTCGTGATCTTTTAGGGGTCTTCATGCAAAAGTCAGGAGTTACCCTGTAATAGTCATATGACCAGTATTGTAGCACTGAGAACTTTCCAGAGGTTTTTTTACCTACATGAATCCGTGAAAATTTTACCTTTCTGTAAATCTCTCTTCTCTGAGAGCTAATTACATTGGAAAAAGTGAGCTTCTGTAAAAGGAATAGGATAGTAACATCATGAAATATGTAAGGTTGTTATAGTGTTTATGAAATGTCCTGAGTTGGGAACAGGACATCAGTCGAAGTAAAGCGTTACGCTTAGAATTCTTCTAGTTCATGGGGAAAGAATCAGAGAATCGGTGACGATGTTATTCTGAATTTGTTGTACTCTCTTTCAGGCTGAGATAGCCCAGCTTCAAGAGCAATTAGCTCTCAAAGATGCAGAAATAGAACGGTTACAAAGTCAGCTATCTAGGACCTCATCACATAGTGAAGTGGCAGAAAGAGGTAAGAGGAGGGGAATTAAAATTAAAAATCCAAAACCCTACTTTAACTTCACTTTGGTACCAGCTTGGCTCAGTATTTCAAAGGAATACAAAGAGATGTAGGAATGGACTTCTAGAATTTATTTTGGGAGGAAAAATGGTGCAAATTTATTTCGTCTTCTGGTAGACTAGAGGCCTTTAATGTGTGAAATTCTTTCCCAATCTAGAGCCAGCACAAATTGCAATAAGTTTCCTAAGGGTACTGGAAATTTTTCTACTGGAATTTTATTTATAATTTGAAAGAGTCATTTTAGTTCAGTGGGAATATATTTTTTTATACATACCCTCAAAATTTCTTTGAAAAATCTTTGCAGTTTCCATTTTTTAAGAAAAGAAAAAAGTCACAGCTAAGCGTAATGTTTAAATGTCCGAACATTCTAAAACATAGTCATTGTTTTGCATCTTTCCTTTCTTCAGGACTATATCTGATTTAGGCTCCCTCTCCTATGAAAGGTTGGACCAGATGGTCTTTCAAGGTCTCTTCCAGCCTGGGCTGTTCTATGTTTCTATGATATTGTAGGTTGCTGTTTTAAATCTGCACTGTTGATACAGGTCAATGGCAAATAAACCAGTTTGTTTAGCCTTTGGTCTCAACCGGTCATGTCACAGTTCTCTGAAATATTGACTCCCCTAGAGCTTCTGTCAATTGCTGGGCTGTGAGCAATATGATATTAGTGACCTTTTTCTTCTATAATACTGACACTTATCCGTGGAGGAGTATTTGTATGTAGTTGACCACAATGCATCAGCTTAGCTGCACTAACTTCTTTTGTGGGTGTTAACTAACGCTTCTGAAGAGTGCCCTTGTTGAGATGTGACTTTTTGGGTGCGGTACTACCTCTTTCTCAGGGCTTACCAAGAATCTCCTTACAGGAATTAATGCAGATGTGTCTTTTCTAGAAGATTCTGTATTTTGACTGTTGTTTATTCCAAATAAGTGACTTAACATATACTTGGTGCTGATTTCACTCAGCTGCAGAGCTTGTGCATGTAGAGAACTGCATGTCTAACTAGAAAATTAGTTTGTCTAACAGCAGTGTTTTGTAGAGGAACTCTTCTACTAATAGAATCTTGTATTTTCTATGAGATTCCCAAATAACTTATGATATTCCAAGGGAAAGATAGTGGTATGACAATAAATAAAGAGCTCAGCAACTTTCAGCTTCTAGTAGTGTGTCTGTTCCTGTTCATGCTGAAGATGGGTGAAACTGTCCTCGATTCCAGCGGGAGGAGAATCGAACCCTGTACAGATTCTTTAGGCTACATTTAAGGAAACCACTTAGACTATATTTGAATGGAAACAGTATGCAGCAGTAATAATTCTTCTGCAAAAAAATTACTGATTTATCAGATTTTTAGATGGTCTTCTCAAATAAAGTTGGAAAATAATGTAGTATGCTAGAATGCATATTCTAATTAAACTGCAAAATTTATCTAATATGTGCTTTTTCTACATACTTTACTTGACTCTCACCATTTACCATCGTAGAGGAAGTTTATAGGAGAAGGCTAAAAGAAAAACGTAAGCCTTGCAATTCACTTTTGGCTTTATCTCACTGTTCCTTTCACACAAATTATAACTTAAATGCATTCTGCAGGAATAATTCAATGTTTGTTTAGATTTGGCTGTCTAATTGTAATATACATGAGACATTGCTTTCACTGCTTACAGCGAGCAGACAGCTACTTGCCCTGTTTCGTAAGATTTCACTTCAGAAAAAAAAATCAGAGGTTTACAAATCAGATAGTTGGACTTCAAAGGGACATTGTCAAGGTTAACAGAGGCAAAACTTAACCTTTACCTCTTTTTATTTGTACATATGTAAAACCCATATAATATCTGGAAAGATGGCTTTAACTGAAAGCCTCCTTCCTTGGAGGGGAAGGATTTGGGCTTTTTTTTAATCAGTGCACTAAACTAAAAAAAACAGTCTGAATAAAAATGTTTCCATACTTGATGTTGTTATAAATATTGTAAGTAAAGTTTGCTTTAATGTGCTTAAAAATACCTTGACACCAGTTCTTTTTGAAGTCTAATATTTATAAAGAAATTAGTAGGACTGTGATTTTTTTTTAATGGCTTTTTAAAAATCTTCCAATTGCTTGCCCACTGTCTGCTGGCTTGTTTTTGATTTGGCTGTGTCTGTGCATGGCTTGTGTTACTAAGTGTTCTCTTTTGCAAGAGAAATGTTTGCAAAGTTCATTTATGTGTTTTAAAACTTTATCATTACAAGGTGTGTATTTTTCAGAATCACTACAAGAAAAACTAGTTACAGGTTTTGCCAGTAGTCTAGATATGACATTGTATGTTCAACATTTAGTTGTAAAACATTTTTTTAAAGATGTTCTTTAACAGTATTGATTTTCTTTCTTCTCTCTCACTTCATGCCTGCCACATCTGGTTTTCATAGTCTTTTGTGAAACAAGGGGGTCTGTTTTAATGTCAAATCATGAATTCCTTGGGTGGCAGTTACAGCAGATAAACTATTTCAGGTTCTGTCTCCATCATGTAGAGTTTATTTAGTATAGGTTGATACTTGAGGACTTGCTAGGAATAGTGTGTAGAGAAGAAATGAAAGATTTGGTTCAGCAAAGTTAGGATGACGTGATTAACAACCTCATAAATTTTCAGAGAGTGTGTTTTAATTGTTTTTGACTATAACATTCCTGAATAACCTCTATCTTGTAACACTAAATTGTGTGTGAGGCAATTCTTTATTAGCTCTTGATGTAGATTTTAACTCAGTTATTCATACTGAAATGTTTTAAGGGAAAAAAAAAATTTACAAATTTTCCTCGTATCAAAGTAGTTTTTGTTATTTTTCATTTCCAAGTTTCATGAATGTCTTTGAGCTACTTGTCATAAGCTGCCGAATATTTTTCCCAGATGGAATATAATTAATTTTCAATCATACTTGAAATTATTTCCTTAAATGTATAACTGAAAACGCACTCTCAACTTTTGCAAAATAAGCTTCAATGTTTCTTTTTTTTATTACTTGACTTTTAGAGTATAAAATAACATTATGTAGCCTTTTATAAGCAAAACCAGCATGTCTGTGTTGTGCGATGCTTTTAATAGTTCAGCTTTTGAAAGGCTCTAAGTTACATGTAGTTTAACAGTGCATTTGCCATGCCACTGACATGGTTTTGGTTACTCATAAGAACATAGGGAGACTATCACAAAACATACATTGTTTACACTAAATATAGCAAGTGTAATTTCCTTATAACATTTTAAAAACATTTCTAGATCAAGAAGTTCAACGGTTGAAGATAGGAATGGAATCGTTATTGGCTGCAAATGAAGAAAAGGTGAGAAAATAATCCTTGTTCTACATAAGAATGAAATGATGGTTTTGAATCTCTATAATGATCTGAATAACCTGCTTGCTGTAAGCGTGGTATTGCCCTGATTTTTGGATTATCCCATGAGATTGTGACAGAAGGTTGATTTTTTTAAATAGAAATTGTGGCTGACCTTGCTAACCTGCCTGCAGAACTTGGGAGGCCCATTAGATTCCAGAGGGGAGTAGAAAGCCAAGGCTGTAATGAGCAGAATCTCCTGGTTTCTGCTATTGAAAAGATCACTAAGGTTTGGTCATCTCTGGCAGCTTTTCATCTTCCAACCTAATCTGAAGTGCATCAACATCCCCAGTTTAGATTGTGATATTAAAAGAAAGTCAAAGTGGCCTTTGAATCAGACTCAAATTTTGGGAGAAAGGGACCAGGATTTAAAGAGACAAGGGTAAAAAAAAAAAAAAAAAGGAGTACTAAAGTAGAAGAGGAGTGAAATTAAACTCATTTAAATGGTAAATATGTTTTTTGTCTCTTACCATCTGTATGGTGTTTGCCTGTCAATTGGAAAATTCAAGTGCAGGATTTAGGGCTTAGTCTTGGAGGATGTTGAATCTCCACCTTCAGATGCCATTGACTTACTACCTAAATTGTTCCTTATTTTTGGAGGGGGTGGAGGGTGGGGTTGAGGGGGATTAATTCTTGAGAAAATTGTAATTCTTGTTTTATGGTAATAAACCAGGCCATAGGATTTTCCTTCATGGTGACACACTCGTATACGATCAAATAGACAATAATATACATCCCTAAAAACTTCCTTTATTAAGTGAGGAATCTGGACAGGGCAATGTTAATTCTGGAGAACGTTAATGTGACTCATAACAACATTTAATTCTTAAAAAATCAAAAAGCCAAAATTTACATCTGGAAAATAAAAGACGTGGCATTATCTCTTGCCAAAATTATTCCAAGTCTGCATAAGATTTTTACATTTGAAGGGAACACGAAATATTGTTGCTTATGTCCTAATATCTGGATATACTCACAGGGAAAGGAGGGTTATTTCCTTGGAAACTGTAGTGTTTAAACTAGTGGACTGATGGTTGACCCACAGCTTCTTAAATGTTTAATGTAGAACTGTTCACCTTCAATAATATTGCAAAATAAAATATTCTTCCTGAGAGAAAATAGCTCTAAATAGCTTTTGGGATAACTCTAAGTATTCCTTGTGTCATTTAGGACAGAAAGTGCTCAACTAAGTTGCTAGTAAGTGGTGCACATATTTCTTTTTTAAAAAACTAGGTATGTTAGTCTCAGTTCTTTGCTATGAAGAAGAACCTATTGCTTCTATCTGTAGCTGGGATAACTGGGTATCTGGTTTAGGCCTCTTTTGTCCTGTGTATACTTGCTGAGGTGTGAAGAGAGGATCAGCATCATCTACCATTCTGTAATGTGGTTAAGGTCTGGTTTCTGTGCAGTTACTCCTACAACTCAGTTGATATCTGGTGTAACTGTAAAGTAGCACATGAGTACTGGAGCAGATTTTAATTGAAATATCTCTGACACTGACCTAGCTATGGCAGTGCAGCAGCTCAGTATCAGCTAATCACTTAAATACATTCCAACTTCCCTGGAAGGTTTTGGGTTTTTTTTTCCCAATGTCCACTTCTCTGCTTCTGCGGTTTTCCTGACACCCGCTTGTGAAAACTAGTTATTTATTACTTGCTTGGGTTTGCATTCAGTGCTCTGTAGTCACAGCACTGGGCAAGATTATTGCACAGGAATGGTTTAGAACAGCGGTCAAAGAAACAGGACAAACTGTAAGTGTGCAAACTGCAAGATCACACACTTAGTGACAGATAGCAAGAATTTATTATCGGGGACACAAAATCATATATAGAAATGAGAGAAATGACAGATCTAATCAATTAAATAATGATTACTACCCATCGCTATGTTGCATCTGTGCAAAAGGCAAGTGCACTCCCTGAATACATGAATCAAGATGCTTTCCGTACATAATAGGAAAGCATTAGGTATTGGAGAAAGAGTGGAGTCGGATAATGCATCAGACATTCATGAGACCTCATTTCTTTGGTTCTGTACAGGTTTGACTGCCTAAGTTCAAAAAGATGTGTTCAAAACTGGAGTAAGGGTAGATGTGGGAATGCAGAACATCCTACAAGAGAGGATTAAAGAACATGACTAGATTGTTAAACTATACAAAACATAAACATGATTTACTTTATGAATATAGGTATGATGCTAACAAAAAACAAACACTGCCCACTTCAGGCAGTTGAGGTTCAACTCCAGAATATTTCTTTGACTCTTAGAAGTGAAAGCAGAGTTCCAAATTATGCTTCTGTAAATAACTAATTTACTAGTAATGTCAAACTCCTCAGGTTTCCTTATATCCGTAATTTCACACTGTCCAGCAAATATTATGTACGACGGCAAATAAAAGCCGAGAAATGTTCTTTACAAGGCATGTGAGAGACCTGATCCTGCTTTCTGGAAACGCAGGCCAAAATCACAGAAATGAATGTGTAATACAGTGTTTCTGCAGGTTAAAAATGTAGGATTTTAAATATTTTATTTAATGCTTTTCACAGGACCGTCGAATAGAGGAGTTAACACTATTGCTAAGCCAGTACAGGAGGGTCAAAGAGATAATGATTGCAGCTCACGGTAAAACGTCTTGTGAATAATTTCCTGATATCAGGTCTTTTAAAAACTACATGCACTACAACTGCTATTTGTTGTCCTTTTAAATATATGTGTATAGTAATATATATTTCATTATGCATATATTTGTATCATCTTGGACTGCTATGAGA